ACCCCCCACCCCCTGCCACGCAGTTATTTAACCTCGATCGACGGACTTCTCCTAGGGTTTACGGCCCCGCTTTGGAAGAAGATCATGCGGGCCCCGGTGAACTTGCTCCCTGCTCGGAAATTCACGGGAAACCTCGTGCGTTGTGTCCGCGGATGACTTTTCCTTTAAGCTTAGAGACTATGGAGAACTGGAATATGTACAGTTATATTTCTTACGGCATAAATAAATGGTTTTAAATTAATTCCGTCTACATCAAATCGCAATCCGGATGACGACCCATTGAAGCTTGCGATTCATTTAATGAAACGAGACTCACACAAAACTTGAGAAAGCTAGTCTCAGTCGCGTGAGGCTATCAGATCCCTCGATGTACACTGATAGGTAATGCTGGATAATCGTACGAGATGGTATTTGAGGAGCTATGAGCGGATCCTACGTAGATGTTCCAAGTCAAGAGTAGAAGGAATCAACGGCCTTACGAACATTGCATTGCAATACCAGCTTGCAAAAATCGGTTTTATCCCGCCAAAAAACAATAAAGGCTTTTGCAATAAAACATATGTCATGCTAATTTTAAGTAAATCGAACTCCCTGTCGAGTATACTATTCGCGAATAAACTATTCTTTCAAACCGCTGAAAAAACGATTTTAATTAAAAACAAGCATTTTAAACACATTACAAAAATATCAAAATCGAGTAACGGCTATGAAATTTCACAAATTGAAATCCATGAGCACTAAATTAAAAAAGAAAATGTTCAGAAAGGAAAAATTCTAAGGTAGAGTCTCGCTTAAATTTTCATGCAACCCGTTTTCCATCCCCACGCAATCTTTGTCAACTTTTTTCGTTTCTTCTTCAATTCTCCCGGTAACCCAAAGTTCTTGTTTCTCTGCACAGGGTGTGATGGTGGGTATGGGTCAGAAGGACAGCTACGTTGGTGATGAGGCCCAGTCCAAGAGAGGTATCCTCACCCTGAAGTACCCCATTGAGCACGGCATCATCACCAACTGGGACGACATGGAGAAGATCTGGCATCACACCTTCTACAATGAGCTGCGTGTGGCCCCCGAGGAGCACCCCATCCTGCTCACCGAGGCTCCCCTCAACCCCAAGGCCAACCGCGAGAAGATGACCCAGATCATGTTTGAGACCTTCAACACCCCCGCCATGTACGTCGCCATCCAGGCCGTGCTGTCCCTGTACGCTTCCGGCCGTACCACTGGTATTGTGTTGGACTCTGGTGATGGCGTCTCCCACACCGTCCCCATCTATGAAGGTACGACTTTCCATGACAACAAATTGAATTCAAAGCACACATGGGTGTATCCCCTACATGAACACATGCTACTTGTACATACATACATACATACTTTAAAGCTTTCGTAATGGTTACTTACACTCGTAAAGGCATACACATATGCATGCTAGCATACACAATCTCTCAGACACATACACTTGAGCAGCACACTCATGCAAACACACTCAAAACGCCAATCACAGTATTTCTGTTATATGCACAAGCACATTTACTTATTTCCATTATAAGAATCGTAAACCAACTTCAATGGCAAAATCAATAACCGCCGTAACTCGTTGACAGTTTGAAACAATGGCATTTGCAATGTTTGGATTCAACAATAAAATAAACTCATAGCAGGGAAAGTTAACTCTTCGCATTATTCAAACTGGCGTGATGTAAATATTTGTAACTTCTGTTACATCGGACTTGTCTTTAAGTATAATAATATGCTACATTTTTGAGTTAATGACGGGAGGCCGAGTTTGGCTTCATCATTGAGAGGCGTTTCTTTCAACTTAATTTAGAACAATAGCGCTTTAAAATTAATAATTACGCCTCGACAATGAATTCAGAATCTTCTCTGTTGAAGGGGCGTAGCTGAATCGGTGACTGTTTAGCTAATCACTTTCACTTTTCGTTTAGTAGAATGAAATATACCTCTTAGAATTGGGTGATGTCATTCTTCACCTTTCTAATTTAACTCCTAATATTTTTCTTCGTATAATGTGAGGATTATCGAGGTAATTCAATTAAATGTAGATTGTTACAAAGAGTGAGATGCAAATAATCACAGCCCGTACTTTTCGTATCATGCAAAAACATATTCCGTACTACGCAACAAATTCTGTTGAGTGAAAGATGAAAATTTACTTCGTGTTGGAATAAAAGAAATGTCTTCGATCAACAAAACTTTTTTATAGACAAGACATTTTCACACGAGTAATTTTATAACGGTTAGTATCTCCTACAACTAGTGGATATACGCAACGAGAATGTCTCAAAATTGTTTTTCCAAAGATTTTTTATTATCTCCGTGGAGTTCTGTAATAAAAATGTTAAGGCAGTGCCTAAAAAACGTTACTCGACACTCATGTATTTGAAACACTTATTGAATCTCCAACTTGTCTTTTGACTTCAGGTTATGCTCTGCCCCACGCTATCCTGCGTCTGGACCTGGCTGGCCGCGATCTCACCGACTACCTGATGAAGATCCTGACTGAGCGCGGTTACAGCTTCACCACCACTGGTAAGTAACCTTCCCGTGCATCCATCAGACCCCGATACTCATACATTCCCTGCTTCCTCACGTTTATTTTTAATTAGAGTGTACTTTAAACGTTTTACGATTAAAGACACATCTTTTACCTTTTCGTTGAAATGAGTTAAATATCTCAATATCTTTCCGATGCTTAAGTACTTGCTCTTCTTAAACACTGTCTAGGGTTTTCCCCTCTTGAATTTCTTCTCATTTTCTCTTTTCTTTGATTTGTTATTGGAAGTCTAAATTGTAAACATACTTTCTCGCTCTGTCCCCCGGCTCATATTCAAAGCGATTTTAACTTCTTGCAAATCCAGGACTTTGATACTTTCATTCATTATTTCTCTATGTCCACCTCTAGAATTTAATCTGATTCTTAGCGGCATTTTTACCTAAATCGCGTTTATCTTTCTCAGGGAGGTACTTTCTCGTATTATCCTTCGGGTTCCCTTGTTCAATGGAGTTCGATTCTAACGCGGGCTTCTTCTCATTTCGTTCAACTGCCTTGCCTGCTCCCCCCCCCCACGTCTCATCAAAGTGTCCGTTTTCTAACTGGCGCCTTTTCTGCCCCCCGCAGCCGAGCGTGAAATCGTGCGCGACATCAAGGAAAAGCTGTGCTACGTCGCCCTGGACTTCGAGCAGGAAATGGCCACCGCCGCCGCCTCCACCTCCCTGGAGAAGTCCTACGAGTTGCCCGACGGCCAGGTCATCACCATTGGCAACGAGCGTTTCCGCTGCCCCGAGGCCCTCTTCCAGCCTTCCTTCCTGGGTATGGAATCTTGCGGCATCCATGAGACCGTCTACAACTCTATCATGAAGTGCGACGTCGACATCCGTAAGGACCTGTACGCCAACACTGTCCTGTCCGGTGGCACCACCATGTACCCCGGTATTGCTGACAGGATGCAGAAGGAAATCACCGCCCTGGCTCCCAGCACCATCAAGATCAAGATCATCGCTCCCCCTGAGAGGAAGTACTCCGTCTGGATCGGCGGCTCCATCTTGGCTTCCCTGTCCACCTTCCAGCAGATGTGGATCTCCAAGCAGGAGTACGATGAGTCCGGCCCTGGCATTGTGCACCGCAAGTGCTTCTAAGCGGCAACACCCACCAGCAGCGGCGACGGCAGAAACTACCACCCATGGAAACAGCGAGAACGCCGATACCATCTTTCAAACATTCACATTAATACCAATGATTTTTATAATCAAAACAAACATCTTAATGTACAAATACTGTGACTGAATATTGTAACAACATGGCAATAAATTAATTATATTACTATTATATTACCGCCTAATGACACAAATTATTCCCTTTCTCCTTGTCTTTCAGCAATTCAATATTATCTCTATTAGACAATGGAGAAAAGTGACTTCTATTGACTGCATCTCTGTTTGATGTTCCATCCTGATCCAATTGAAAATCAAGCATCAAATACCTATTTTTCAACAAAACCTCCTTCTGCAATTTATTTATTCCTTCTCAATACTATTATCATCACATTTTTTATGCACATGAAGCAGATATCCTAGCAAAATCAACCATTAAAGACTCTACTTGATAATATTAATTAGATGTGTAAATATGAGCCCAGAATGCCAGTTTTTGTTTATAGTTTTGTGTTGCTAGCTTGTAAAAAGAAATTGCTTATGAGAGTACAGAATATTCTCTGTTGATGCTCTGCAATGACTACAATCAATTCCATCCAATTTACACATACTAATTGAAAACTCAGTTACTGAATAAAAAAAATTAGGTGCTATAGCTACAAGTAACATTGATGGTAGGAAATATTAACGAAGATCTTTACCTGCATATTTGCTCGATTTCTTAAAAATTCAATTTGATTCATGTTAGGATTCAATATGTTTAATTGCATTGTTCTTGAAACTAATATACTCAGTCTTCGAAAAATAGAACATTCAACAGTTGATCCACGGAACAAGCTACTTCTTCCATAGTTGAATTCCCCAGTTTCAAAATACTTTCTTTGCTGTTGTTCTCTGCTGCTCAGAAGCATTGCAAAGAAGACAAGTAGTAAACATTAATATATTCTCATCCTGTACATAATGAACATTTTCTAGTAGGCTGCTCATCAATTTTAGTTTTATACTGAAATTAATAGACTAGAATTTTTAAACATGTCAGTAATCTTCACGGTTTAACTAATTTGAGAATATCCTCTAAAGCAAATTTTTAAATCAAAAGTAAACATTCAAACAAAACAAATTTACCTTTAAGCAATTTTTAAATTCAATAGATTATGTTATTATTTTTGTAAATTCAAAGATACTTCACTTTTAATTACCTTGCAGATGTAAAATATAAAAAGAAATGAACATTGTAGCACCATCCAGAGGGAAATTCAATAAGAAATGCAAAAATATGAACTTATTATTTGTTAAAAGACCCTTTGGTTAAATACCTATCAAACATATTTTCCACTATTCATTCTTTTAAAAAATTGTAAAACTCATTTCGTGACCTATTATGCACAATTCACTAGATGAATTGTAAAATGATATCAAGTGATTTAAATAAAAACATGATCCAGTTCTACATTGTGTAGTTGGTCTTTGACACAGACATAGGGTAGTCGATCCACTTTGAAATGATTGCAACGAATCATTATCCAACAATTTATTTTAGTTAATTGATTGATTGTTAGTGACCCCAGGCACATCAATTACTGACATTCCCATAAGTGTGGTGCATGATTTTTCATTGGGAGTTGGCAGTGATCATCCTCTGGTGGATGACGAGACATGGCATACATTAGCAGGGTTTTCTCCAACCTTTTATCTCCCACCAGCAGGGTCCTTCACTAGAGAAAAAGCTGTAAGCCCTCAAACCGGTCTCCTGGCAAGTGTGGTAGTGTAGGGCATGTTAGTGTGTGTGTAAGTAAAGGATGAGGATAGGACAAGGAAGAGGAAGGAAGGATTGTAGCCAGACCATGGTTTGTTTGTTAGGGTATTGGTCCAGTGTTCACCTGGTGTTGATCAGAGAAACCCTGGAAAACTACCAATCAGAGCAGCCGGCTGCTAGAATTCTTCTCCAGACAGAGACTGAATTCAACATTACCTCTCCAGCTAGTCGAAAATCCTGCCGCCATTTTAGTTACTTTACGTACTATATTTTAGACTTTTTAGTATCATGATTTTTATTTACATTGTTTTGTTACACCTGATTATGAGTGCCAGTCAGCAAAACGTTTTACATCTTTTGGAAAGAATGAATGGTTACTGGAAAAAATAAGTGTGTTCATCTGCAAACCAAGGGATACAAAATAATATATATTCAACATAAAATCAATGTTCATTACATTTAACCACAAAAACTCAATACGAACTTTGATAAGAAAGGAAATTTATTAAAACCTTGGAAAAATTTAAAAGAATTGCTAAAATTCTAGGTTTCCTGGCAAAAAGTTTTAAAATATTTTGAAAGGCTGAGAACAGGCGAAAAGGCCTTAGATGTAGTTTGAATTCAAAAGAAATGTCAAAAGAAAATAGATGAACTGAGAGCATTTAATACATTAATTAGGAAATTGTCTGTACTATCAATAACATATATATTGTTAATTGATTTTGGCCACAGTTTTTAACGTCAAGAGTTTTAAGATCATAAAAAGTTTATTCAGAGCTTCTCAGCAATCACATCACAAAAAGTGATGATTTTATGATGCGATTGATGAGGAGATCTGAATAAACTTTTTATGATCTAAAAACTGTCTGTTGTTAAAAACTCTGTGGTCCAATTCAATGAAAAATATAATTATATGAAAGCATTTTAACTTGCTTTCTTAAGGCATGAGCTAGTTATTCTATATTGTTAACTTGTGTAAGGTTGGGCAGGTCAATTTATTTGAAGGATAAAATAATTGAAGTCCAATTCTGAAAATTATTTATTGACAAGAGCAATAGTAATTTAGAAATTAAAAACTAACCTTACTATTAGGCAGTATAAATAGAGATTAAAGATTGCGAACAGAAAGTTTCATATCCAAAAAAGAACACAATTCGTGCAGTACAAATGTGCACTTTCTAAACTTAAAGTTTCCCTCTGACATGTTTAACCTGCCTCAATAACATCGCAAATGGCAGCATTCACCAAACAAATCCTTTTATAACAACACAGTTTCTCCCCTGCAAATAAGTGATTCATATAATTGCACTTATGAGTTACAGGAATTTGTAGCAAGAGTAATTGTTGCATGTTTCTATTTAAAATGGAAGAGTTATCACATTTTGCAGCAGTTTCCTAACCTCTCTGTACTTCAATATGCAAATCCAAACCTTTGCTTAATTACATGAGATGGCATCTTAGAATATGTAATTGAACAGTCAGCACAATTCATAAAGGTTTTAAAAACATAGTCTTAAACTATACTTCATCTTCCCACTTCCTATGCCATCATGTTCATGCATAATCAAACATCTCTTTATGTTTGGGTAATTTGACCATTCAATTTTCAGTATTACAAAACACTGAAACACACTTAGAACTCCTGTTCAAAACTTGATTCAAATGTTAATTTCCAACATTTTACCAGAAAGAAAACTATTTGGTGTATATGTGATTATGAATTCATGAAAATAAAATTGAAACTTTACAGTTGATAATATATATAATTTTTTGAACTTGTAAGTTAAAAACTTGCATACATTGAACACACAAATTTTGATCCTATATAACAAGATTGGTATTGAATTTTAGTTCAGACTTTTACATCCAACTTCAAAACGCATTCTGTATTTGCAATAAAATATGAAAATTTAACTTAATTTTTTATGCTATGCATTCATACTCTGGTGATAATTTAAGACTTCTGTCAGAAAGAAGATTAATTTTCTTCAGAACAGGCACAACATGACTCATAATGAATGCTACTGATGAGGCATTACTGAATCTTTAGCCCCTGCAGCCACTACGTTTGAAATTAATTTCACATCATTCTTAGCCTTTGAGATCTGGGTAAATAATACAACATACATAAAAAACAAGGAGAGGTACTTTGAAACATTACACATTTTCAAAATTTAATGGTTTTCTACTTCTAGGAATATTTAATTAAATTCCAATATGTTTAATACAAACAACAATGATTTATCATGAATCAAGTTGATTCTAATAACTATAGATGAATGCATTTTAATCATAAACATAAAATAATTAATGAACCTGCCAAAGTAAACAATATAAATGCAATAAATATTGGAAATTTTAAATAACAATCTTTGTTCAATAATCAAGACTACTGAAACTTGTATAGTTGTCATTAAAACAAATTGTTAAACAAAAAAATTGCACACTACACCAGTATTTATACAGTAGCTTCCGCTTCATTGCAAAAATAATATTCGTTTACTGTGATTGTTACACACAAAATTCAAATCGTTTCTTAATAATTTTTACATTTCTATTCTTTATCCTCATATCAAAAGCTTAAAACAAAATTACTGGCTGAGTTTTTTGTCATTCATTTTCTTCACTATAATTAATTTAAATAACAAACCTGAAGACAGAGAGTTCTCTTAATCGTAAAATAAGAAACTGGTAAGTAAATTACATATTTCAAAAATATAATTAGAAAACAATAATACTTGCTGCAGTTTTAATTCAAAAATTCATTCTTGGGATGAAAACCATTCTTCCTGGTCCTCACAAGATTAAAAGAACACACAAAAGTATATTCACAGAAATGGAAAGTTGTGTACTCAAATACAATAATGGGTAATAATAATAGTATATTATGCAAAGAGTTCGTAATGTTATGCTTTACTGGGTAAGATCAGGTTTTGAAAACAAGCAAAGTTAGAAGCAAGTTTTCAAATTTGTACAATCGCAATGAAGCAACATCATAAACAAGTTGCTGTAACAGTTTTTGCATACGAGAAGACATACGAAAAAAGATAAACTTCAAGAAAATAAAAGGTATTGTATTCAAAAATACAATAATTGCCCCTCCAAAAATCACAGTTTCAATTACAATGCTGACAATAAATAAATAAAAACATTTTTTAAAGACTTAAATTAACAATTCATTAAAACACATTTTATGATCAATAAATTTAAGAGACTGCACACTATGAACAATACATAGATCAATGTTCTTTAGGTTTCCATTAATGCGAGACAACATTAGGGGTTCAGAGATATTTTAAAAGAGGGATATTGTTGAGACAAATTACTCTCTGAAAATATTTCACAAAAATATCTAAAAACTTAAACTGATTTATCAGGAACCTGAATGGAGTTAACGAACCTTATAATTCCTGACCTATGTAGAATTACACATGTGAACACAATATATGCTACATCCTCAAATAGCATATCATACTCAAATATATCATCAATAACTTAATACATTTGTATATAAAAATTTAATGTATGTTTCTTAGAATAATTTAAAATAGAACTGCATCACAGGAATTCAATTAAGCATCAGAAATAGTATATACAAATATTAAGTCTTCATTACAAGAAGAGCAATTGATTGACTGCCGATTGGAGAGACTACTGTAAAAAGATATTGAGAAATATCTCCACATTCACAAACAGATATTGCAATATGATGCAAAATTATATACTCTCTCACATACATAAAATAGTAAGTTTTTTGGTCATCTGACTGGTTTAAAAACAAAGGATACATAAAACATATATAAAATAACAACAAATGGCCCATAATAAAATAAAATTGTTATTGAACACACAATATAAATGACTTGAAATATATTTCAATAAAAATAATAAATTGTTGCAATCATCTTTTCAAGTGAATGTGCTCAATTGTGTATAATCCTAAAACTAAGCAAAATATATCATTCACAAGTAAACTGATCTAAAATGAAGTTGTCATAGCAGAAACTCATCACATAATAATTTGAGGTTCTGGTACTGATGTGCCAATAGATTTGTGTGGCAACACTTGCCCACCATTCACATACAGCTCATCTTTTACAATCACATCTTCTCCAAGCACAGTAGTATTTTCCATACGAACCCACTGTCCAACTACACTTCGCCATCCAACAATACAACCATCCAGCCAAGAATGTGATTTGACTGTTGCTCCTCTTAGAATAGTACTCCGTTTCACACAAACTCCGTTCTCAATTACCACTCCTGGTCCAATAGTCACATTCGGTCCAATTCGGCATCCTTGGCCGATGCTCGCTGTGGGATCAATGAGAACATTGCCCACTACTCCAGATCCTGAATAAAGCAAACCTGGACTCTTCTGTCTCAAAGATGATAAGTAGAGGCACATGCCTGCAAAACAAAATACAAACCCTATAGCAATACAATTGTTGGTTTATAATTTTATTACTTTCCACAACTTGGAAATCATTATAACTTCAGAACAGTACAGAAACTTAACTTCAGATGGCAAGCAATAACTTTAAAGTAACTGGCATTTACAATAATATGCCAATATTCCCACATTCAAGTGAGCATTTTTCAGTTAGTTTCCCACAGATAAGATGGAGACTTGGCAAGTTAAATGTTCATTGCCATCAATTTGCATGTTTCAACAGGTAAAATGAGTAAAATAATACCATGGGGATATGTAAACCTGAAGTCTACCCAGGAAATCTCAATACTTCCATGATATTAAATAGGTCAACTAAGAATTTCTATCAAAATTCATGGACATAGTCAACTACGATTATGGGGAACTTCTGGGACAAACATTTTTGGTTCACAATATCCGATGATGTCAAAATTAAATATAATAGAATTTCTTCACAATGATTGATTTTATTAATGCAGAGATACTGCAAAAAATATTAACAGCACCAACTGAAAATTTCAATATTTTTATTTGACCTTAAACAATAAATTATTTTCAATTGTCCACACTTGATTCTCCATAGTTCACTGCCTCTAAATATCGTAATGGAATCCTGACACCTTTCAATGCCTCTTCCACTATTGGAACACTGTCCCATTTTCCTAAGGCCCTTTGACCCTAACTCTGGGTCAATGAGCAACTTTAACACACTTTAACTTACTTCATTCACTATAAATATAAGAAAATAATTGATAGAATTTCATTTAAGTATACTATCAAATTCCAATACAGGACACCTTTATAACTAAATCATGAAGTAAAGTAAATTTCAGCGCTTGGCGAGTCTCCCTTACACAGAATGCCTGTTCGAAAAAAGGTGCTACTGAGAACCAATTGTTAAATATTGGTTGAAACAGTCATGGAATAAGTTAGGAAGTTATTGAACAAGAAAACATGAGTGGGGAAAATGAATTGACACACACACACACACACACACACACACAAAGGTAACCAATGAAATCGGGTAGGGTTGATAGAACATAAGTAACCAGTTGAAATATTACAAAATTAAATATTGCCAGGTATATTTTATCAATTAAGAAACAAACAAAATACAATTTTATTGCCCTTTACCCTTCTTTCAAAAAAAAAAAAAAGTATTTGCTAATAATTTGCAATATTAGTTTCAAGGATGCTGCATTAAACCTTTTATTTTATATCTACATACACACCACAAATAGTCTTGTTAAAAACTCCAAAAGTTAAATGTTTTTCAGATTTGGTCAACGTTTGGTTAATTAGGGAAATAATTGCCTCTATTCTGTGTGTTTGTTAAAGCCTTCGCATATCAACCTGAACAATCCACAAAATTAATGTGAAAACTAACTCAAAATCACATTCTGAAGAACCACAAATGTGGATTCTTTGTCGGATGTTCGATGTAGACTTACGCATGTTGTATTGAGGAGGTTCTAACAATGCATTAAAACCAAAGGCAATGAATTCACATGTTTACTGAGCTCAAAGGAATGATTTGAAAAGAGAGTTAAAGGTACCCGCTTGAGCTGGAACATGTCTTCATAAAATACATTTGTTCATACTGTAATCTAAGCTTAGATTCAACAATCATCCATGAAAGGAAATACTAAACTGTCAAAAACCATAAAGAGCTGCTTTTAGATTGAAAAATAAAACAACATATTATTGAAATGCTCAAAAAATTCATTTGCACAAAATTAAATTTATGATTATCAAAGGATGAAAGGAAGGAATGTCTTATTCAGTGATCCTTCTGCACTCCTTCCAAAGTCAAAGACAATGCTAACTGTAATAGAATTACGCTAATTCCCACACACTTTAATCTAGGATTCTTTTTCAGATCTTGAGGATCTGAAATAAAGGCTGATTACATAAGAATAATTTATTTCACAAAAACACATCTGCACCTCAAAAGGACCCTCAAAACATTAACAAAAATTTTGTTTTATCACTAATTATTTTCTAGTTCTCAGTATTCTCAATTTCTTCTCAGTATGTAGATTCAACTTCCAAATTTTGTCACACCAAATCTCATCATACTACACCCAACTGCTACTCATTATTGAACATTGAAAAATGTCACTGCTTGTAATTCTCCTAATATATTTACATGGTCATACATTCAATATACAAGGGTTTAAGTTCAAAGAACTTCTGTGTAATTATTTCAAAATGATAATATGTTTAATTAAAACTTCCACAATATCTATGTTAATCTTTTAGAAATGGAATTAAAAAAATTTAGCACTCGGAGTTGAGAAAACTGTTCTTATATCTGACATAAAAAAAAATACGTACCTGTCAAGAAATCACGTGGCTGTCCAACATCCATCCAAAAACCTTGTAATTCCATTGCATAAAGCTGTCCTTCTGTAGCCATTCCAGGAAAAACCTCTTTTTCTATGCTTGTAGGTTGCAATTGGATTCTTTTTAAGACAGAAGGATTAAAAATGTACATTCCAGCATTAATTTTGTTTGAAACAAATTCTTGAGGTTTTTCTATAAAGCTGTTAATACGTCCTTGATCCCCATAAACAACTACACCGTATTTGGAAGGTTCCTCCACTTTTGTAACAACTATGGTACCTTCCTTTCCATGGTTACGATGAAAATTTGCCAGCTCTTTAAAAGGGAATTCACAAATAATATCAGAATTTAGTACAAAAAATGGTTCGTCACTAGCTGCAAGAATATCCCTGGCTAATGCCAGTGGCCCTGCAGTTCCCAGAGGTTCTGTTTCATGGCTAAAAATCAAACTCACTCCCAGTTTTTTAGCTTCTTCACTAAGTTCTTGTTCCATTTGTTCTGCACGATAAGAGACAGCCAGTACTATCTCTGATACTCCAGCCTCCACCAGAGCTTCTATCTGATGAAGAAGCATTGGTTTATTGGCAAATTCAACAAGTGGTTTTGGACGGCTTAGAGTCAAAGGGCGAAGACGTGTGCCATAGCCACCAACTAAAATAAGGGCCTTCATTGCTCCAATTTTGAGGTCCTTTCCACACATGACACAACACCTTTACAGGATACCTGACAACAAGTTTCATTCAGTAACTGTCACATAAATTACCAAGGTATTTACAAATTTTACTAGGTGTGTACTTACTGCAGTTAACGCGCCCGGAATGCTACGTGGGAACTAATCTTTGAACACTTGCGCCACGTATTCATCACAAAACTCTGACGTCTTCGTCCAGAGCAAGTGTCAAATGTTCGAAAACATTAGCTTTTCCAAACAACAGATACCCAAATTATAATGAGCATCTGTCAGTTATGTCTTTTTGTAGCAGAAAAAGAAATATATAATTCTCATTTCTTTATTCAAACGTATAACAGGAAGCTTCGTCACAAGCAACCACCTTTCATTTCAGCTTCCAAACATTGTTTTCCGAAGGTCATTTCCTGACCGGAACTGATACGCGTCCTCGGGGAACAAATGATACACGAACTATTTGAAATTTGACCGCCACTTTTGAAGGGATCCATAATTGTACGATATAATTAAAACATTGATAATAAACTCCTTTCTAAATAATATGAAATTAAATGACTGATTGGAACTTTAATTTGGGAGACCAAACATTAAAATGTAATTAAATTATTACATTTATTTATTTATTTATTTACGTAAAAGACAGTTAAAAACTGTGTATGGGAATTACGTTCATCAAGTGTCAGTATCAACAGCTCACTATCAGAAATCCATATACAATACACGTACTACGATACTTTACAACCCGTTGCCAGATGACATTAAAAGATTCAAGTCATTTCACAAATTTAAAGTTAAAAGTAACATCTTTATATTGCATAACAGTTTCTATACATTTAGAGACTATACTGTTTATCAAAAAGAAAACTAATGTTTATTTTAACAAAACAGTGATACCTTGAATTAGTTTACATTTGTAATGTATACTTTTTTAAAAAGACATTTTATGTTTGTAACAAATAATGTACTTCCACTTCCGGGTCAATGACCCCCCTTCTCGATCAGGATTTTGACGTTTCCTTGTTTTGCTTCTGGACGTAAATGTAGCTTCACTACGCGCACGTATTATGGAACTCTCATTTTGCTTGGAATGGTAGGTGTAGGGGTAAGGGCAAGTTACTATTTTGTTAGCAATGCTGAATCATCATATTTGTAACTCGTTTACCAATGCAAATAAGTTTTCTATTACTCGGAAACGAAAATGTCAATTTTTTCAAATAATGCTAATCTCACAATTTTTTAAAATTTCTTTTCATTTATTTATTTAAAACTTTTATTTATCATTCAACTATTTATAGTTAAAATGACGGGAAGGGATTCTGGAACTCAAGAATACGCACAGATAATATTCTCCCCCATATGTCGCATACAGTTTTTCCTGTGATTTTTTTAAATTTATTTACTTTTTTACTAAATAAATCTTAATGCTGAGATGGCCCCTTGTTTTGCTTCTGGACATAAATGTAGCTTCATTATACGCACGTTTTATTGAATTCTCCTTTTACTTGCACTGGTGGTAGTGGTAGTAGTAGAGCTGGGGTGAATTACTATTTTGTTGGCAATACAGAGGAATCAAATCTGGAGTTCGCTTGACGATGCAAATCTAGTTTTCTATAGGGAATGAAAATGTTTATTTTCTACAAGTATTGCTAATCTCACGTTTTTTCAATTTTATTACTTTTTAAAACTTTTATTCATCTTTCAACTATTTATAGTTAAAATGTTGGGAATAAGTTCTGAAACTCAAGAAAACATCCGCAGTTGATTTTCTACCCCATACGGCATATACATTTTCTACTGTTATTTACTAAAAAAATCATGTCAAGTTAAATTGAAATAAATAAATAAATAAATAAATAAATAAATAAATAAATAAATAAATAAATAAATAAATAAATAAATAAAATTGAATGAAATTGTTATAATAATATAATACGTTATTGAATTGAAAGATCTAAAAATTTTGTTACCTTAACATCAGTCAACGGCAAGCCATTCATTTTCAGTGCAGTGTCGAGCTGTTTATTGAAAGTGGAGAACTGCATTAAAACCGTTTTATTTTCATTTACTATTAATTTGTTATTATGAAACCAATTTGAAATATCTGATATAGTACTATTCACGGTTTCTTTATTGCAAAGAATATTCGAATCGTTCGCAAAGATAACAGTTCTTCCGTTACTAATCGTGGAGGGCAAATCGGTTACGTACAGTAGGAAGAGAATAGAGCCAAAAATCGATCCCTAGGGAACTCCACATGCAATTGGCAAAAAATCAGAAATGTCTGTGCATAATGTTCCATTATTCCAGTAAGGTATTTCTACTCTCTGAGATTTTTTTTTCGGTGCGAACATAACAAATCTACAGCAACACCACGAATTCCATACGAAGGTAATTTTGAGTGTAAAATGTTATGATCAATGACGTCAAAAGCTTTTGAAAGATCTAAAAGTATTCCAACAGGTGCTTCGTTTTGATCCATGGTTGAAGCGACATCTTTAAGAAATGAAAAGATGGCTGTTACCGTTGATTTTGCTTTTCGAAACCCATCTTGGCAATCTGAAAACGCGTCGTGTTTACTAAGAAACGATTCCATTCGTACGTAAAAAAGTCTCTCTAATATTTTAAAAAAAAATCGACGAAAGAGAAATTGTACGATATTTTTGAATTTCAGTTTTGTTACATTTTTTGAAAAGCGTCTTAATCTTAGCTGTTTTAAAAATACCTGGAAAAATTCCTGTGCATAAGGATAGATTAAATATGTGAGTTAACGGGTGAATAATGGCGGGCGCACAAACCTTTAACAAACAATCCGGAAATTCATCTAAACAAGCCGAATTTTTATTTTTTAGTCTACCGATTACTTTGAGAAATTCATAGGAAGAAGTTTCGAAAACAAACATCGTGCCATAAATTTTTGGGGAAACATCTGATGCTGAATATTGGGTCTGAAGGCCCTTAGTGAGATCGGCAGCAATTCTTGAAACGTATTGGTTAAAAAGACAAGCCACTGTTGCCGAATCGTTCACATTCGTTATCGTTATCGTTTAAAACAATATTCTCTATAAGGTTTCTAGTTGATTTGGTCGAATTTATTACTATATTCCATATTGCTTTTGTTTTATTATTAGAGTTCAAAATATCCTGGTCACGTTTCATGATTTTAGCCAGCCGTATGACTTTTCTCAAAAATGATTTGTATTTTTTAAAGTAGAGGAGGAAACCTTAAGATACTTAGAAATGAAAGAAAGGATTAGTTTGTTTTTACATTATGTTCTAATCCCTTGTGTTATCCAAGAATAGCTTTTCCGTGAAATATTTAATTTCCTCTTTTGAAGAGGAAAGCAAGTTTTAAAATGAA